TTGAAACTATCCAGAAACATACATGAAGAAATTCGTAGATCAATGTCACAAAAATTGAGCCAAATTTCAATTGAGCTTTTGAGCTTCCCAGCGTGTGCTACTGATATGAAGTGATGTACAGGGTGCGCCAAAATTATTTGCGCCAAAATATTCAAAGTAATGCCACAACAATGGCAATGAGAAATTTGGTCTGGATTTAAGGCCACAGAATGAGGTAAGCATACTTTACAAAAAGAACTATCAAGATCCCAAATTGGTCTTCATTTAAAGAAGTAAGAATTGCAAAAAGTAATGTTCGTGACAGAAAAAACGCAAGCTGACGCAATTTATTGCATAGTCAAAATTTTTGGTTTAATTGCTTTTAAAGATTCCGAACCTCAGTGACCTTAAAGTCAAAAATTAGATCTATTTTATGGCGAAATTTTCCCCGAGAAGCGATCACTAAAAAGATACATTGAGCAAGTTTGTAGGCCTCTACCCGCGTGCAGCATGCGACAAAGTCAGAGAAATATTATGATTTTTCCTAAAAGCAAAACAGGCAATTTTACCTCTTTCAACTAGGATACAATGTTGTTGAACCAGGAAGACAATATCAAGCTTGACCGCTGGCTGAGCCGGTCTTATGTTCGTATGGCTCTTAAGGATACACGCGCAATTAACTGTGGCGCACCCTGTACAATATCGCTCACATTTTTTGAAAAATAGACGCGAATGTATGGACATGTATGGACATGTCCGTCCGTACATGTCCATACATGTATAAACATGTCCATACATCAGCGTCGCGTGGCCATATCTCTCTTCAGAGTGGACGAAAATTCTGAGTCTAAAGCCACCATTCGATTCAGCCGGCGCGGAGAATCTTCTGATATATTGGAAGTGGGGGTACGATGTCTTCAATATTCCGTTTCCAGTTTTTTCAATTTGTTCTGCGAGGTCCTTTCGCGAATAAGTGAAGCAACGCCTACCTAACATAGAAGACTTCACTGAGTACTTTTCGATAATACTGTTCTTGTAGATTATAATGCGCTAGAAAATAGGTTCAGGCTCCTATCCAAAGGAGATAGAAGCGTTGGTGAACTCTGGAAAAATCACGCTTTTTAAATTCTACTCGCCATAACTTCCTTCGGAATAAGCATATTTCGAATCCAAAAGCAGTGCTGTGCTCAATTCATCAAGGCGAATCTTTTCATATACAGCATGTCTTTAATATTTCGATTTCAGTATTCTTGAATCTTTCTGAGGACGTCTTTTCGCGAAGGTGTAAAGCAGCGAGCATTGTCCCTAGTACATTCTAGCAAAGATCTTTCGATAGCACTTCTTTTGTAGATTATGATGTGCTAAATAGTAGCCGCAGGTTCCTTTTCAAAGGAAATAGAACTGCTGGTGAATTGTGGAAAAATCTTGTCGTCCCAAATTCCACTCGCCATAGCCGCAGGATACGAAGCTATCTTGTTAAGCAGATGTGAATTTCGAAATCAGCAGGTCGGATAACCTCTGCAAGTTTTCCGTTATGTTCGGGTTATTCCATTTTTCCTCGTTTTACGCTCAGAAGCTCGACGGATTTTGGTCAAAATGTTGATGCTCATGAATTGTAAGGAAACTTCGCTTATAGAGGTTTTCGAACACGCTTTTTACGAAAATCGTGGTCTTTGAGGATTACAGGCTCTTTTTGGAGAGTCACGGTGAGGTGACTGTAACTTCATCACGAAGCGTAACTTTGGCCGCACTTCTCGCGTATCTGTTAGAGACCTTGCCTGCTTGCTTTTCTCAGTCAAAGTTGCTAGTAACTGTGCTATCGATTGGTGCATTACTCAGGCTCCAGTCTATAAATATCGCCGAGTTACGAGCCTATGGAAACACGTCCTCATGAATTTTGCCCATAATGTAAAGATCGCATACGTCGAAATTCCTCCGTGAGCGCTTGTATGACGCTCGTTGCAGATATTATGTTCGCTTCGTCGAACGACTCCCAGTGTATTGAATATGGTGCTTGCGTCTGCTTCAGCTGCTCAGTTGAATATCAAAGCTATTTCGTGGCTAGAGCTCAAAGCACCAAATCCAACACAATAGATCCATTAAAAATGTAGAAGGATTTGATCAGAGCGTTGTATAAGCGCTCACGGAGGAATTTCGACGAGATATGCGATCTTTACATTTTGGGCAAAATTCATGAGGACGTGTAATCGTAGGCTCGTAACTCGGCGAATATCACAGACTGGAGCCTGAGTAATGCACCATTCGATAGCACAGTTTCTATTAACTTTGACTGCAAAAAGCAAGCAGGCAAGGTTTCTGACAGATACGCGAGAAGTGCGGCCAAAGTTACACTTTGTGATGAAGTTACAGCCACCTCACCGTAACTCTCCAAAAAGAGCCTGTAATCCCCAAAGACCACGATTTTCGTAAAAAGCGTGTTCGAAACCTCTATAAGCGAAGTTTCCTTACAATTCATGAGCATCAACATCCTGACCAAAATCCGTCCGCGAGCTTCTGAAGCGTAAAACGAGAAAAATGGAATAACCCGAACATATCGGAAAACTTGCAGAGGTTATCCGACCTGCTGATTTCGAAATTCACAACTGCTTAGCAAGATAGCTTCGTATCATGCGGCTATGGCGAGTGGAATTTGGGGACAAGATTTTTCGAAAATTCACCAGCCGTTCTATTTCCTTTGAAAAGAAACCTGCGGCTACTATCTAGCAAATCATAATGTACAGAAAAAGTGCTATCGAAGGATCCTTGCTGGAATGTACTCGGGACAATGCTCGCTGCTTTACACCTTCGCGAAAAGACGTCCTCAGAAAGATTCAAAAATACTGAAATCGAAATATCAAGGACATTCTGTATATAGACTCGCCTTAATGAGCTGAGCAAGGCGCTGCTTTCGGATTCAAAATATACTTATTACGAAGGAAGTTATGGCGAGTAGAATTTAGAAACGGGTGATTTTTCCAAAATTCACCAACGCTTCTATCTCCTTTGGAAAGAAGTCTCAGCCTATTTTTTAGCGCACAATAATCTACAAGAACAGTATTATCGAATAGTACTCAGTAAAGTCTTGTATGTTGGGTAGGCATTGCTTCACATATTCGCGAAAGGACCTCCGCAGAACAAATTGAAAAAAACTGGAAACGGAATATCGAAGACATCGTACCCCCACTTCCAATATATCAGAAAATCCTCCGCGCCGGCTGAATCGAATGGTGGCTTTAGACTCAGAATTCGTCCACTCTAAAGAGAGATATGGCCACGCGACGCTGATTTATGGACATGTCCATACATGTCCATACATTCGCGTCTATTTTTCAAAAAATGTGAGCGGTATTGTACAGAGAGGGGAGGGGGGATCCAATGCATGGCTCCTTCAAGATTTGCATGTCATTCGAATCCAATGCGCTGCGAACCTCGCGAAGACATATAAAGTTCTTGCTAAGATTCAGCTTCGCTTGGAAGTTTGCGAGTCAAGGACCTCAACTCGAAAATTGGTCAAAAAATATAGTTTTCGCGAAAACGGGGCAAGAAAGAATGATGGCTTACATTCTCAATTTATCAAGGTATGAACAAATGATGGAGATTTCTTGCATGGGAATGTAGTGCACAATAGCCACTGTCAAGGGCAACTATCAAGTCAAAATACGTTGAATAACTGGTCAAACTCACATTTGTTTAGTGGCAGAAAGTTTTTTTCCTCATCGAGGTTACCGATCTCACATGGAAAAGCTTTTAAAATGAGTGAATATCTATATGTAATTCGTTAAGCGGTACAGAGCAAGTCTTACTGTGATCATAGCGCAAGCACGGGAAAGGTAACCTCGAGTCATTTGTAACTTAATATGTGAGATTGCACACTAAGCTCTATTAGCAACGGCACTCATACTATTAACTTCTTCGTAAAACAATTTCTAACCTAACAAAATGTAGAAATGTGTTCTACTGGCTAACATGTAATCAACTAAAACAAAAGAAACAGGCAAACAGGGAGAATTCACTGAAAAATCAACAGGTTCCAATTTCGCAGTTCGTCAGTTAGCGTGTATAGTGTGCACTAGGTATATTAAGTTACGAATGACTCGACGATATGTAAAGATTGTAGAATTAGTGCCAACCTCTGGATGGACGCTCTGATCATCACTTAAAATAAAGCGTTAAGCACATGATTTAATAAGCGAGCTGCAGCCAACATCTTGACATAAAATTTTGGCAGCGGATAGGACCCCTCCGGCGGAGAAATGGCAGAGCCGCGGGGTTTCCCCAGCGGTGGGTCTGCCACTCGTCCGCCGGATCCCTCCCATTTCTTCTCCGGAGACCTCCCATTTGTGCTCCGGAGACCTCCCATTTGTGCTCCGGACCCCTCCGATTTTCTGCGGCGCGGCTCGTCCAAATCTGGCGGCCTCGCGGCGGACAAATTTCTCCGGCGCGGCTCTGTTAAATCTGGCGTATCCCCGGAGCAGAAATGGCGCACCTTTGCAGCAGGGCCGGAGAAGGGTCCCACTTGCCTGCCAGTGATGTCACCGCGACCTACAAGAAGGGACCGCCCAATCGCCCCGCTCTCATTGGTCAACTGGGTCCGGCGCGACTCTGGCAGATTCCGACTGTGTCCGGCGGAGGGATTCGGTCGATTGTCTGAGATAGCACACTATCAGTACGTAAGTTGTGCAAAAGCACAAGCCGATCCAGTAAATGCAACCATTGGAAACTGTGCGTCAAAAAGATCCAAGCAACTTTTGGCCCTCCAATGTGGATATAGATTAAATTTTGAAAAACCAAAAAAAGCAGATTGGTTGATTTTAGAGAAGAGTAATATGCGCGTGAATCATCACATTCTAGCGGTCATAAATCTTTCGGGATGCATCCGTTGATGAAATCCGTTAATGATGACTTTGCCATCATTAATCATGGATGCTTAGTCCGTATCAGTCTCAAATTACTTCGCATTTAAGCGCCAGAAAGCTAGAAAAAGCGATCAATAAGAGTACTAGACTTCTCAGCTCGCTCACCGACCGAAAAGTGTTGCAGCTATCATAGGGATACCTAGAAAGAACAAAAGCAGCCCTATGGATGTAAACAGAGCAGTGTACGCTGTATTGTCAACTGGTTCATCTGGAATCCATACGGGAAGGCCTAAAGAGTTACCTACTCGTTATGTTCCGCAGAAAAATTTGCTGCACTTGACTTACCACTCATATCAGCTTCCTCATCTGTGTATAACACTTCCAATTTGAATTTTGGTCTGTAATCGATTCTTTTTGGAGTCGCTACTTCGCCACTAACGATCTTCTTAGCCATACAGAAAACAAGTTGCTCACCGCGAAGCTTTGCTACTCATGACTTGATTCCCTCGATGATAATTCGTTCTCTTTTGGTTTACGGATTTGTACCGCTTTTGCTAAAGTTTCTAGGCTATCTCAAGCAATAGCTTGTCTAGTGATGTCATATATTTGAGAGGTTACGAAATTTATAACTACTTTTCTTCAGCTGTGTGAAGGATTGTTCAATCGTCTTCAGCAGACAAAATTTAGCAGAAAATGGACTCTACTCTAAGTTTTACACAATCTATGTAAACACTTTTCCTGCAAAATTTCTCTTAACCGTGTTAAACGAAAGTTTTCAAAACTAACGCAAAAACTCCTGTTTACGACCCTCTTGTGCCCAATAAAGCAGATTTTATACTATGCAGATAAAACTTTTCTTACGTACATTCTAATCTTCTTCAAGAACTTATTTATAAACTCTTCAGAATGTTGAACGTGACCAGGACGAACTGAACTTTCAAACATTAGCTGCTAACAAGGGAATGGTCAGAAATCGAAATGGCCATTCCAGACAAGCTGCATACCGTTAGATGCAGCATGAAGCGCTGACTCTGAATCTGTCTTCCTTACCTGCTTATCGCTTTTCTGGACGAAGCTATAAGCCATTAAAGACCAATATTTTGCTAAGAAATTATGCGTGAAATTGAAAATTTAGCCGTACAGAGCCACGTTCGCCTCAGTGCTGGGCCAAAACATGCCGCTAGCTTATTTAAAACTAGCTGCGGTCCCCGGTCCCGCCCGGGCCGAGAGTCCAGAATGGCCCAGCATAGGGTGTGCTTCAAGATGTATACTTACCAGTCCTCCACTTTCTTCAGTTCACATCTTCTGTGACTCTCTCAGACAATTCACCGGAACTTCCGCAGGACAAGCAGAACTTGCAGCGTTTCCGCAGCACTTTCTTAACCATTGAGAAAGTGCACGCTCCAAAATGCGAGGTTTCCGCAGGAAATTGACGTCACAGCGATCGTAAACCGGAACTTCCGCAGCACTTTCCATAAAGCGCTGCGAAAGTGCAGTGAGGCTCGTAAGGTTTCCGCAGCACTTTGACCTGTCAGCATTTCCGCAGGACTTTGAGAGCCGCATGCATTCGCGATTGCGAAATAGCGAACGCAACATCAACAGCGCATAGCGCACTTTTTCTTCCATACTGTTTCGCTTCTGTTCCTCCTCTAATCTTTCTCTTTTTTCCTTCCTTCTTCAATGTTGGCGTAAGTAAACCTATACTCATCCATATTCTAAGTATTCTTTCAGGATCGGTGCAGGTGTGTGAACAACCATCACCAATCTGCTGGAGTGCCGGAAAAGGACTCAAAGGAGGGACTTCGTCTAAGCACAACGCCTTTGTTCAGGTATGTCGAACTTCTTTGCTTTATGTGCGTTGATTAAACAATAATGCAAGTAATTCAAAACTATTACTTTTTAGAAAATATGCACTGGATATAAACAAAGCAGAAGTGATTACGTAGCAATATAAAAATAGCAGCAAAATAAAGGGGGCGGGGGAATGGGTCACCGTAATTTCAGAGTGATCTACAAGCCTTGGTGAATGTTGAAATATTTTCAGAAATTTTCAGATTCAAATTATTAAGTGGGACCAAAGGCACTTTCGCCAGTTTTTCAAAAAATTATTACTTCCTTTCGAACTCAATCAATCTCTTTGCGTTTATATTCATCTACGAGAGGAAATCATTCTCTTTAGAAAAGTAGAAGCAATTTAATAAAATTATTCAATTTTTCAAGCAGGGTCACCAAAAAATTTTGAAAGTTTTTCGATAAAAGCTTTGCTCTTTACTATAGTGCCTTTTCCAAAAATTGAGAATAGGAGCAAATAAAGAAAATTACTTCAGTTTCGCGTCAGGAGGTACGGGAAAGTCATGGGAACATGGGTTTGGTGACCTCCTCTTTTTAATTGAGAGAAATTCGTGCCAATCGAAAGCAGTTTTGATTTTCGTAATATTACCGAGTTTTCAGATCTGTTTTTCTGAGAAAATCAAATTGCTTTCGATTGGCACGAATTTCTCTCAGCTAGAATGAGGCCACAAAACCCATGTTTATCGAACGTACATACTTTTGGTCCTACCTAATAGTTGTGGACAATTTTCGAAGGAGCTGTGCTAAAAAAATCGAGGGCGTACAAAAACTGGAACCACGAAAATTCCACCATTCCTAAATTTTCCTTTGCTCGGTGGCTCACGCCTACAAGGCCAAATAATTTACTGTCCACCCCCCCCCTCCCAACCTCCCTTGAAAAAGTTTCTTGCACCACCACTGCTCTAATGTATCTATCCTTCTCTACTTCTCTGTTTTTGGTGTTTTAGATGCTTTTCTCTCTCCCAAATACAACCTACATCTTCAACGGATCTGCACATGTTTATTTTCGAATTCATGTTTCCAATAGTACCTACCTGAAGTACCTTTCGATGGAAGCAAGCTCCAGAGATAAAAGCCGAAAAAAAATTACTCCTTTCTCAAAATTTCTGCGTTTAATCGCAAAGCTGAAACTCGCAACGGAAATCGGAGCATTATAATTTCATAGCCTGCTGTTTCTGACTGTGCCAAGTTTGCACTGATTGAACCTCTTTAGGAAAAGTTATGATTTTTGAAGCAAATGCCAAAAATCATATTTACTCTTTTCAACGGCTTCCTCAAAAATCATCATAACTTTTCAAGAGACGTTCAATCAGCGCAATCTTTGTACACTCAAAAAGAGTAGGTAATGATAGCTATGTACCGATTGCTCCGATTTTCTGCAGGCAGATTTTTGCGACTGAACATGGGGAATATCAAAATGGAGTAATTTTCTTCACCGACTTCGATCTGTGGAGCTATCTCAGGTACCGTTAGAAAGCATGTCGTCTCTTAAAATAAGCATGTGCAGATCGGATGTGAAGGAAGAAAGTTTCGAATTTTTGAAAAGGATGGGGACGAGCTTTTTGGTTTATTAGTATTATTTTTTAAATAATGGTTTAAAGTTCAACAATAATTTATAATAACTTTCCCTCACATATACCTGCCTCAGAGTCTGACACATACCTGTTTTTGTGGAAAAGCTGGAATATTAGAATAAACAAAAGTTCTGGCGCTCCAAATTTGAAAATTCCAAAAAAACAAGTTGAAGTAAAGCCTTGATTTTTGCAGAAAACTCTTGTAATTTTCAAACCCGTCTCAGAGCTTCTCCTTTCGAGATTTCGAAATTTTCCAAAATTCTAAATAAATCGTCCAAATTTGCTCCGTATTTTTTGGCGAAGAGGTTGCAAAATGGAGCACTTGCAGCAAGGCACGATCACATCAAGAAATTTCAATTAATGCTCATTACAGAAAGGAAGAGAGGCCGAAGCCGGCTTCAGTCGCGCGGACAAGGTCAAAATGACACCCGATAAGTGGAAAGGTTTATTTCCCCACAGGACCATCTTCCCTTTGAAGCGCATATTATCCTTTGTGAATGAGATTATTCTTGTTTTACTTGTTTTATCTTATTCTTCCATTATTCTTTACTCCTCCATCAGTATAACACTGCTTTTCAATTCCTAATATCTGCCGATTTTTTCCAACCTTATTTGGTTATGCATATATACTCGAATGCTTCTGTGATTTTATGTGTATTTATTTATGAACACTTCATTAATCCGTTGATTTGCAATTATCAACTTCGGCCTATTGTGATTCTATATGGTACCTGCATAAAACAATACACTGTGCCATTTGTTTTCTCACCAAAACTATCTCGGTCTATGTCTCTTAGCATCTAGAAAGTCTAGAAGAATTTCTACATCAAAGGAATAATGCCTCAGTAAAAAGCGAAAACCGAGTATTGTAAAGGAAAACCTAGTATCAAAAAGGAAGCTTGATTAAAAGACGGATCGCGAATCAAAAGCGAAACCGCAAAGTGCTGCGGAAACCCTGTACCCTGAGATTGCAGGGTTTCCGCAGCGCTTTCGCAGGATTTCCGCCGGGTCACCTGCGGAAATCCTGCGAAAGCGCTGCGGAAGTTCGGTCGGTTGTCTGAGTCTCCTGCTTCACGTCCTTGTCAGTTCCAGCGCTCGTGTAGTATCCGTGGTGAATAGTCTTCTTTCTTGACCGGCTCGCTTCATGACACCGCATGCTCCCCACCGCAAAATGTAAATGATCTCTACCACCCCTTACTACTTAAGTTGGAGAAATGAATGATAGCCTTCATTTTCCTAGATTTTAGTAAACAAAATCAATAAATCGATAGAAGGACCCAGCGAATTGTCGAAAAAAGTAGCCTATCTAATGCGCCGTGTCTCATTTATAGGGAAACAAAGTTCAACCTCTTTGGTTCACATACAAAGGAGTCTATAAGCCACAAACATCCTAACAAACACGGTACAGTGTTTGAGTTTTATATATATATAGATTTTTGAAGTGAGAAGCTGAGCTAAAGCGCAACAATGTACTCAATTTCGCTGTTTTTATGTATGATTTTTGCACAATAAAACCGCTGTAGCCTCGTCCACAGAAGCGGGAAGCAGATAAGGAGGACAGATTCGAAGTCAGCGTTTTATACTACACCAGTGCGTCACCTCTGCTTCGCAGAGGCTCACACTGGCTCTACTACCTATGTGCCTTACTCATTGTCGTAAAATCTTGGCACTGGAACTCACCGCGCTATGCCGACTATCACGAATAAAGTGTAAACAACTACTCATTCAGAAAGCTTTTTCACATGAGATCGATGGATGAAACTTTTCGCAGTAAGACAAACGCAAACTTGAATAGGCTTTTGAATTTGTCATGGCTTGGTAGTAGCCATAAAGGCAATAGTCACGGTGAGCTACATTTCTGTGCGAAAATCCTCCCAAATGCTTGGCTAGGACCTTGGCAACTTGACCATTTATGCAACCAATTCTTTTTAGCGCCGTTTTCGTTATGTAGTAAACTTTTGACCACAATTCGGGCTAAAGTCCATCGCTTGCACATTTGCTTACCAAACACATCCAGACTTTGCAAAAAGTGGTGATACGGACCCAATTTTGCGGAACAGAAGCCAAGTGGATCCGTTTGGCGCGCAGTTTCCGAGGAATTCAACGAATCTACTCGTGCTTTTGCATGTTGGACTTCTATGAAGGTAGCATGCGCTATGTAAAATTTGGGCTTAGAACGCTGGCTGGAACACGCTCTACGAATTTCGTAACAGACGGACACACACAGACACGAAAACATAAACAACCCTTAGCCCGTTATTATAAGGTCTTGATCGAATGATATACAGCTTCTCTGGTTTGGCCACTTCGACTTCTGACCATTCCCTTGTAAGCGATATACAGGGTGTTACAAAGTGCTAATACTCTCTCGATCACTTGTAGAGCTGGCTTCAACACGCCAAACGAAGATTACGGATGACAGTGGAGATTAGAAAAAGGGTTTCGAACCTTCTATCAAAGAATCTTCTGTAAAAAACTAACCCTCTCCCCTCATTACATAGTCTCCGAGAGGGTTTGGTCCTCAAAAGTCCGTCTGACGAAAGGACTAAAACAGACTAACAGCCGTAAAATCATTTCTTAGCTAACCACCGATAGCTCTTTGTTACTGTAGGATTACGGTAAAATTTTCAGCATACAGAGCCATTGTGAAAAAGGTCGTTTATAATTTTTTTCGGAACGTTCTGAAAGGTACTGAAGTGAGAATTTTGCACATGCTGACTTATGACACATTTTCATGAATTTTTAGCTTCCTTAATGGTTAACCACATTTCTGAAAAAAGTTTAGAAGAAGTTTTTTTTATATACTTCCCATAACTCATGAAGAAGCGCTGTAATAACGTGAAAATTTGTTATTTGTAATCAGCGACTTGGGTTTAATTAAGTTCCACTTGTTTGGCTTTCTTTTGTGGTGAAATTAAGCCCCAACAACTCGAAACTTCCTAAAGTAAAACTATAGTACCAAAGAGAGATCGGTGACTGGCTTCATATAGTAAATCTAACAAAGGAAGGCATCTAACTTGATTCGGGCTTTTAGAAACATATATGGTTGAAATCAGCTTTTATTCTGAGCAAATTTTGAGTTTTTCTTTGTGCGAAATTGGCATACTGTTCAGCATGGGAAAGCTGCCTGTAGATGGAAATCGGCCTGAAAAGGGTTTTGTGATACTTAACAATATCAGATTGGGTCTTCTTTTATTGACAAGAAAGTTAATGCAGTAAATTAGCACTTAAATCACTTAAATGAGGATACCGTAATGCCAGAGTTTAGAGAACATGCAGTTTTGCACAGGAAAATCAATAACTACCTTCAGGAGTGATGTGCGGCAGCTATGAACAGCATATTTGGAATCGGCGGTTAAGCTGATTCGAACCATACGTGATCGTATGAAAACCAACCAACCTAATTTAGGTGCCCTCCCTGCTATCAAGGGAATGGTTAGAAGTCGAAGTGGCCAATTCAAACAAGCTGCATACCGTTCGATACAACATAGACAAATCGGTCTCCCATATGTGCAGAGCGCCTTTGTAGGCGAGCTTATGAGCAGCTTTACTGCGAAAAAATCGTACAATTTCGAAATTAGGCAGATCATTGTTTTTTAGCTCACCTCTAGATACGGGCCGTATGAAGTGACAGAGCGAAATAATTGCCATCAGAGGCTTATAATATCACCCACAAAAGTGATCTACAGATAAGGAAGACAGATTTGAAGTGCGTTTCATGCTGCTAATGGTATGCAGTTTGCTTGATTTGGCCGCTTCTATTTCTGACCATTCCCTTGTAAGTTGAAGCCAGCTCTACAAAATGGTAATTGAAGACTGACAAATTACTTCTTGGGAAGAGAGATATTAACCATCAAATTTGTATACACACTTTTGAGGCATCTTATACGTTTCACTGAATGCCAATTATTCCTCCGATAACTATATTAAAGCTGTAGAAAGAGTTATTAACGCTTATAAGATGTGTTATTACTTTTGGGACATCCTGTATACTGGATTGGCAACAAAAAAGAGTTCCCTCCTAATCTTTCGAAACAAGTGATAACAAGTAATTTTCGAGCGATCTCTACCTACATTTGTATAGTGGCTTCATCAATCAATCTTTTGATTTCACACTAACGCAAAAAATGTTCACGGCTAACAAGGGAGGATGTTTAGTGGCAGTAGCTCTTTGAAATGTGGTATACATCGAAGCGCTTGTCTAGAAACGTTGATCTCAGATCAGTTAGTGATTTGCGAAATTCTTTGAAAGGTGACTCATCATGCAATTTTTAAAAGCAATTCAATGTTTGGAGTGATTATATTCACGAACATTCATGTATTGACTTTGTTTATTTGGGGTTCAACTGTGCTAGTCTACTAGCAATGACGATTTCAAGTTTCACTCATCGAGTAGATTTGAGACGTTGAATTCGGGAGGTAAAGAAGAACCATACTGGTCTTTCAGTTTTCTAAACGGAAAAATTATGATAAATTGCTGTTGTAAAAATTGTGACCTACTTGCAGGTTGCAAGCGAGACGCATCTGTCCTTTCTATAATAGTAATGAAGACGTATGTAACCTTTCTCGCATGCACATACGAAAGGTATGCATGGTCCTGCACAGGAACGGGAGTAAAAACCGAGGTCCTGAGAAAAATAATTTTCGGTAATGATGTGATGCAAATCTCCTGCTGAAGTAGACGGTTTGGACATACCTTGCGCGAAAAACAGGTGGGTTGACATTCTCTATCTACATCACATTTTGATCGAACTTCATTAGGACCATAGCATTCTTCTAGAATTAAAATTTCTCAGATTTTTGCCCTGTACGCATGACTACAGCGCCTATTTTCAACATAATCTAGCCTATAATAAGGAACTTTTTGGCCAAATTCGTTCGCTCGTTTGAAGTATCGGCTTTTACAACTTCACAATGAAAAAGCACAGAATTTTGATGGTTACTACACTGCTTTATACAGGTGTCCCAAAAAGATTTGCGCGCTGTTTGCTCGTTAATAACTATCTTGCTTTCATATTTTTTGCCGAGCTTGAGGTACCATTCTGTAGAGCAAGGCTCAACTTGGATTTACAGTATGGAGCAAAGTACCAATCACTCTTCGTTTCCGTAGGATTACGGTATCAGCATTCAGCTTAGAGCGTCACTGTGGAATAGACCTTTTGATGAAGTTATTTCAAAAAAATGTGAAAATTCGTGTGGCAAGGTAAACAATAGCTTTCCAACAGTTTTTGAGCTTTCTTGATGGCGTAATCCTATTTCTGACGAACACTGGAAAGACAGTCGTTATCCTAAATTTGAAGTAACTCATAAAAGAAGCACTATACTGAATCGCATTTTTCATATCTAGAATCCACTACTTCGGTTAACCCAGTTCAAGAGTTTATGGCTTGTTTGGACTTTTCTCTGAAACAAAATACCGCTTTCAATGGCGTAAAATCCTCCTCAAAGTTCCTACCGTAATCCCACAGTAAAAGAGCGACTGATAATTCGCTCCATACTGTAAATCTAAGTTGAACCTCGCTCTACAGGGAAGGTACCTCAAGCTCGGCGGAAGATACATGAAAGCAAGATAGTTATCAATAATCAAACAGCGTGCACATCTTTTTGGGACACCCTGTATGAGCCATTTTGAATCTCGATTCGAGCTGACTAAAGTGAAAGCCTTCTAAAAAATTCTTATTTACAAGCACACTGAATCCAAATCTTTCAAAATGTGAAGAGCGTAGTTTTCACATGAAGAACAGATTTTTTGACGATCTGAAAAGTGCATTGGCTAGTTAGATTGGGTGTCAGAGACAATTCTTTCACAAATTGTTTTCAAGCTCTCAATATTTCCTTGCCTTAACAATCTTCGCAGTACTGTGCTGCCTTCAGTACTTTTTGTGAAGTAATTTCTGTGAATCGTTCATTCTATAAACTATCAACATATAAAAAGCTTGCCTTTAGAACAATCGGACACGCACTTTCCACGAGAAAGGAAGAGCCCATTTTTGCATTGACATCCAGGTTCACAGTACAATTTACGAAAGGTCTATAAAGCAGAATCCTGTATAAGTGGAAAAACAAAGCGAGATTTGTAACTCGAAGTGATTATTATGTACAATTCGCAACTTGTAGCAGCTGGGTTTGCCTGTGTCTTTACAGTGCTTCCATTCCATATCTTTAGGGCAAGTCTCGATCGGCATAACTGAAACTGTCATTGAGTGGAAAAGTTGGTAGTCAATAAAGTATATTGACCCAGCTGATATATTGTAGAATTGGATTTGTAGGCATTGCTTGGTCCAACCGGACCAAGAATAGCTGTAGCGATGACCTGCAATATCATAATTTAGTGGTTGTTAGACAGAAAAGTTAGTGAATAAGTAAAAGTATTGTTACTGCTTTTTTGTGATAGCGCATCCAAACCGAGCAGTCTCAAATATAAACTAATGTTCAAAACAGGTGCTTATTGCTTATCACTAAAATAATAGGTTGATGCATAATTCCTTCACCAAAAAATAGAAAAAAACGTTTTAAAAATGCTTAAACGAACCAGTCAGTTTCAAAACATCATTATCTTTATGTATATCAAAAGTGCTATTTTATAGCACATTTTAGGAAATCAAAATGAAACAAAATCAGTAAGTCAATTTAAAAGAATCGAAATTCGCACCTATTCGCAGAAACATCCAATCACTACCAACTTCTCTCAGTTAAGAAGAGTATGCCATTAAACAAAGACCAAAATTAATTTGAATTTTAGTAGACGTTTTAGCCATTTTTATTGACCAAAAATCGAAAAATCACTTTTTGAATCTTTCTCTCAACCACCTTATATCGTTGAAGTATGTCCTCTAGGAATTTTGGCTCGAGCAGCATCATAAAGCGAAAGGTTTCCTTTTTCTATTATGTGTCAAACCAGAAGATTTTGTTAGAACTGAATGAAGTAGTAGAATTTCAAGAGTTTTGGTGCAGGAATTATGCATCAGCCCAATACTACAAGATAAACATGGGTGTGCCTTGTTGTTTCCAGACCCAAAACCGTAAGAACCACCCCTTACAAATCAAGGAAGGAGGACTGGCGTAGAGGCAAAGGCCATTGGCCGCCTTCGCGAGCCCTCTATTTTCTTCTTATGTTCCATGTTCTGCCATGGCTTATTTTAGGCCAAGCTGGTTTACTTAGTTACTCTTACGGTTTTACGCTGTTATTACCTCCTTTTTGAATTATCGTTACAAAACTAAACCTCCTCAAGGAGGTACAATTTCCAAAAAAGTAAACAGAAAGTTTTATCATGGACATGGCCTGTCATTGTAGTTTTAAACCGCATAAAAATGATAGATGCGACGGTTTTTGCTCTTTAGCAAGACTAGAATTGAGCACAAGAAAAAAAAACAATAAGAAGCATGTTTTAGAGCACTCAAAATGAAGGGAGACTGACTTCAACAAGAAAACAGAAACGAAATTTAGACTTACAAGGGAAGCGGGTCAAGTCGAAGTGGCGTTTCTAAATGAGACTGATACCACTTTAAAGAGCATTGCACTTACTTATTTAGATACTTAGATGGCCCGTCCTCACGTGTCGTACGGGCAAGTTGCCATTTATCTCTGTCCCTCGCTTCGAACATCCACGATCTTCTTGGTCGTCGTCGTTTGCTGCGTCTACGAGCTCTAGGGGCAAAAGTTTTCTGATTTCTCAGCTGGACCATCCGTCCCACGAACACGCTTGCCCATCTCGTTGGAGGTCTCCCTCTGGAACGCTTGGCTTCGCGAGAAATTCACTCAGATGTTCTTAGTGTCCATTTGTCGTATGTTCTTCTCATTATGTGACCTGCCCATCGGTGTTTCGCTTTCGCAACAAATTTCGCTGGGTCACGAAGACGGGACATTCTTCTTATATCCTTACTGCGAAGTCCAACTAGATGTTGCTTGCGTCGGGTCATCTTCAAAGTAGTGCGCTCGAGCGCTCTGTGGGTGGTCCGTAAAGCTTTCGACGTGGCTACACTGTCGGCCTAAGGCCCGTATGCACGTACATCCCCGCGGGGAGGGGATCTGAGAGGGGAAGCGTCATATCTCGCTAGTCTGTGCATCTTTCTTCTTCTTTCTCTGTCTTGCTTTTAAAGGTTCTCATACACTGTTACTTGCGCATAACGGATGCCAGGTTACTGCCATACAAAATTAGATATTCAATGTCTCGTCTGATCCCTGGGGATCCCCAGGGAATCACCTCACATTTTCAAAGTCATTTATCTTTCTGAAAACTCGATAAAAATGCTCTAAAATTGTACTGGGATATACTACAGCACTGCTAAACATGTTTATGATAGGAATGAATGAAATCTCAAGATATCAAAATCTTTAATGAACCGCTGCTCGCGAGAAAGGGATTATCAAAAAAATCAAACTCTTCAGATTCCATTTCTTCTGTCGAAAACATGCTCAGCAGTATCGTAGTATATCTTCAGTACAATTTTGCAGCGTTTCCATTGATTTTTCGGGAATATAAATGACTTTGAAAATGTGAGGTGATTCCCTGGGGATGCCCAGGGGATCGGAAGAAACAGTGAATATTTATTCTTGTATAGCAGTATGAGAACCTTTATAAGTAAGATAGAGAAGAAGGAAGAAAGATATCTAGAGTAGCGAGATACGGCGCTTCCCCTCTCAGATCCCCTCCCCTCCCCGTGGGGATGTACGTGCATACGGGCCTAAGTCTCAGCTGCGTAACAGAGCGCCGGGAGAATGGTTAAGTCGAACAGGTGGGCACGAAGCTCCGGATCCGTCAGTTGGTCGGTAGCTTCCTTCAGAGGCCCGAAGGCGACCCAGGCTGCTCTTCTTCTCCTGCTAAGTTCTTCCCTCAAGTCGTTCTCTATGTTCATCAAACGTCCGAGATACACGTTAAAGACGTCTCCATAAAAGGGGTGCCTTTCAATTCCATTTCTGCATTTTCGCAAAGGGGGTTCCTCATGAACTGAGTCTTCTTTCAATTTATTCGCAATCCTATCTTCTTCTCTACTTCGTTTAATTCCTTCAGCATCGTCTCGGATTCAGGAATATTGTTCGAGAAGAGAACGATGTCATCAGCAAAACGAAGGTTCGATAAGAATCTCCCATCAACTAGTAAGCCTCTCTCGTTCCAGTCCAGTGACTCATCACCCACTGCAAAGCCGCGGTGAACAGCTTAGGCGAGATTGTATCCGTTGTCGGACCCCCTTTCAATTGGGATGGTCAGGGGCCGATGGAACAGCTGCATCGCCGTTGTATAGTCTTTGTAGCAGTCTGCTAAGGTCCTCACGTAAGCTGGGACCACTCCTTGACCGACTAGCGCTGAGAGGATGGCATTGGTTTCAACGCTGTCAAAGGCTTTCTCTTAGTCGACAAAGGTTAGGACGAGAGGCCGTCGGTACTCCGGCAGACTTCTATGACCCTCGAAACGGTCTGGATGTAGTCCATGCAGCTGGATTCTTTGCGAAATCCAGCTTATTCTTGGGGTTTAGGCTTCATTCAGTGCCCTAGATATCCGAGCGAGGATATTCTTCGTGGAAAGCTTGTACAGACACTCAGCAGACATATTGGGCGATAGTATCGAAGATCCTCCCGTTCATCCTTCTTGAAAAGAAGGACGGTTCTTGATGTTCTCCATTGGTCGGGAATCCTTTCCTTCTCAAGGTAAGATGTTAGGTGCGATGCGAGAATCTCGTGTGGACGTTGTCCTCCTGCTCGCAGAAATTAGACGGAAAGATAGTGTGGTCCTGAAGCCGTGGACGTCTTCATGGTCTGAATCGCCGTGCGCACTTCAGCAGGTAGAATTCGTGGTGGTACTTCTCCAGTGGGAATAACGGACATCGGCACGGGTGTTGATGAGCGGAAGAGGTTGGTGTAGAAGTTCTTTACGATAGATTCCATCTTGTATCAGGAAGAAGTCGGAGTTCCGTCTTCGTTTAATAGCCAGCGGTACGTAATATTCACGGAGGTCCCTTTGACACTTCTTAAGATTTCGTCTTCCTTCGGCTGCTTCACTATCTTGGCTTGCCTTTACTTCCTGAGATCTTCCTGCAAAGCTGTTCTGCAACTGGCGTTGGGTTTCAGTCGCTCGAGACGGGTTGCACTCAGATTTTGCCTCAGAAATCTTCTTCTTTCAAGCGATTCCTTGGTGGTCTTTGAAGTGCGTTCCAAGTTCTTCGCAGAAGTCCCTCAGGCGCACACTCCGCAGGCCGGAATCCTTTCAGAAGCCGGTCATAGTCGTACGTTGGGTCCTCCTTGATGGGCAAGTCACAACCTGATGTGAGCTCTCCCAGCCTGTTACCGTCATAAATGGCTTCCTTCCTTCTCACGGCACTCAGGGTTTCTTTTCCAGCCTTCGGCTGAGTCATAACTCGAAGGAGGCGGTGATCGGTCCACTGCAGAAAAATGGAACTACTAAGACATCGAGCAAGCTTCAGCTTCAGTTGGTGAAAAAGTGGTCATCTCCGCATGAGTCGTTTCATTGGGAGATTCCCATGTCCACCACGATGTTCTCGCTTCAGGAAGATGGAATTTCCGTGGAAAGTCGTGCGGCGAAGAGAAGCCCAAGAGACGGTTGCGGTTTTCATTCCGGAGCCCATATCCAAACTTCCCGATCCTATATCCCTTTCTAGTGGCATCCCGATTTTCGCGTTGAAGTCGCCCACAGCAAACTTGCAGGAGGACTTCTTGTTGAGGACGACATTCTCCACATCTTCATTTCATACTGCCACACTGACTGCAGCAGACTGCAACTGACTGCAGTGACCGCAACGGCCCACAATCGCTGCATCCTTTCGTAAAAGAGAAAATTGTTGGGAATACATCAAAAACCGTGATCTACGCCTAAAAAGTTCATAAGTTCTAACTTACTCTTCTCAATCAAATTTTGGCGGTTGTTTTTTTTAATATGCTTATATTTGTTCAGATTCCTTTTGTCATTGCACATACCTATTTTACTCCCGCTTGTGTTGTCTATTGGGGCATATATTGTTAAGAGACTGTTACGAGTTAGTCTGCGACACGACACGTCTGCGTGGATGACACGTCTTCTTGCTGATGAATAAGATTTGTTCTCCTACAAGAGCAGACTTGCTATGCCTAGCTTGATCCCACGGGGTGATCGCTGACCCCGGTCTTGAAGCGTGGAGAACCGCTTGGCAACCAGAAACCAAACGGCGGTGGATCTGGCCTAGCCGGCTCTTAGCTAGGCATCCGACCGAAACCGGAAACGTCGAGCACCTTCACAGCTTGGGAGGCTCTGCCAGAGTATTCACTCGGCTGTGCATCGCAGTTCGGCACCCAGCGTCACCCCTACGTCACGATAAGGCGGCCGACGCTTGTGGGGGAGCATTGCACGGCGGCTTCAAATTTGCCTTCATTATCTGCCAAGCGCCTTTGGATACCAGTCATGACCATTTTCCCATTTTCTGGAACGAAAAATGAATGCAGAGTTTAAGTGAAATCAATTGTTATAATCTTTCCAGCGCTCAGATAAAGCAATGTTAAGGTATTAGCATATCAGATAAAATGGTATGCATTGCAGAAACTGCTCTGATACTTGGCACAGGACCCTTTGAGCAGTTTTGAGCGATTTTGCTCCAGTTTTGCGTTCAACTTTTTGAGCCGAAAAACGCTCATAACTCGGTGTCAGAGGCGCTTGGCAGATAATGTAGGCAGATCTGGAATAACTGTGCAATACTCTCCAAAGCAGGATGGATCTCATCTGAAAAGGCCAACTTCATACACGCTTCCGTTGTTAGAGCGAACTGAACTATTTTCATAGGAACACGCCCCCCCCCCCCCCCAGCAAATTGGCAATTTTGTGAAAATTTTGCCTATAAAAACGCTCGCAGGTTGTCACCACAACATAAGAGACATAAAAGCAGCATCTGCAAGTAGAAAGTGCTAGTTACGAATAAATGAAATAAGTATTGAAACAGCGCATTAGAGATACCGTCTAGCTGCGGTGGTGTTGTTATTCCTCCCCTGCCTGCAAATGTGTGCGGCACTTAACGCGGTGTATGCCTTGTGGCGTAGTTTGAAAGAGACCTTAAAGGCACCCTCCACCCAAAGTGGCCGATGAAATTTTGATGCCTAAAGTGTGCCCCCCCACAGTTGTATACTTGCCGGACTCGCGCTGGCACAAGTTGCTTCCGAAGCGAGAAAATTGCTTCAATGTTCGCTTTAGATGACGGGTTCGCCACGTTGACTCCTCCCCTTTGAGTGGGCGTGACGCTCGTCCCGCCCTTTTGAGCGCACATAACCAGTAACCTTTCCACAAACTCACCCTGTGGGTTCTCCAAAAGGGAATTGGAAAGGGTTTTCGCGGATTTTCCCCGAACCAGGGACATGAGAAGGCCCCGGAACGAAAAAAATATGGGAGCCGAGAATCTGGGTGGACGATGCCTCTAAAGGCAGTGTCTTACAAAAATTTGATTGTCGAAATACTTGCATATGTCAAGCCTTTTCGTCCCTATCTAACCGAATACGGGTCCAGAATCGCATAAAGTGCTGAGAACCCCGATCTTGAAAGTCCCGTAGAAGCAAAGCGGACGAGTTGTGCTTTCTCAGCTTAGCCTTCGCCACGGTTGGCAGCGACACCAAATGGAAATGGACGCCGAGTGGAGAGACATGTTGAAACTCGTGAATGGGAAACCGGGAGCGTCGGCGTGCTGGCCAAATCGAACTTTACGGGCCAGCATGGGTAAATTTCTCGGCGTAGAAAATCCCTATCGAACCGAACTTGGAGCGGTCGACTGTTCAGGGAGTCCTCTAATAAGATATTTAGAGTCTCAACATTACCCAATTTTGGTGAGACACTGTCTCTAAAGGCAGCATTCACTCAATCCAATGCTTAAAAGAGATGGTCAGAAGTCTAAGTGGCCAATTTAAGCAAGCTGCCTTCATTCTATGTAGCTTTCAATGCTGATTTCGAATCTGTATTTCACATCTGCTTAGCGCCTTTGTGGACGAAGTCGCGAGAGGATATATGCGGAAAAGTCGTACATAAAAATTGCGAAATTGAGCAGACTGTTGCACTGTCTTCTCACCTTTAGGCTTTAAGAATATAAAGAACCAAGTTGCATGTTTCGGACCAGCCTAAAGGAATATGGTTTGTACTGCTATTTGCGCTTCGCATGCACTTTGTTAGCGAAGTAATGGCCTTTAACGGCTCACAACTTCGCCCACATGGGCGCTAAGCAGATATGGAATACAGATTCGAAGTCAGCGTTTCATGCTGCATATAATATTATGCAGCTTGTTTGAATTGGCCACTTCAATTTTTAACCACCTTATTAAAAAAAACTTACATTGTATGTGTAAGCCCTAGAATACCAATTTGGTTGACTCAGTCTTCTATTGTTAACTCCAAGAAGAGAATAAGGACTTGCAAGTCGCTGAATCCTCCGGCGTTCCTCTTGCTTTTCCAGCGCTCCGCAAACTCTAAGGACGAATTCTGACGCATTTGGGTTGCATGCAGCGGGAATAACGCTGAATTCTCGTCCAACTTATCAGAACAAGGTTTCAGAAAAGGGGTTTTCTTGAAGTCTCCACTTAATTGCACTCCATATTCAGAATCAGGGCCTTGGAAAGGCCTAAAATAAAGGCACTGTTTACCCAGACTGCTATGTTTTTGTCGTTCCCGGGATCACCATGTTCCAAATTCCAATATAAAGTCGCAAATTTGCGACACCGACAATCCCCGTTTCGCGAAAACCCGCATGCCGGAACTTGGGCATTGGCTCAACAGGGGATCCTATTATCGTATGTTGCCAAAAGCTCCTAACATATTATTAGAATGGATGATGCTTCTAAATAACCATTATCGCACCTTTCGCTCATAAAATTCCCGGCTCCATCAAACATATCGTCAAGACAGAGAATAGATGTTGGACACTCGCTACGATGTATCTTGATGGTCTCTTTTCGCTATTCAAAATCCTTCAAGGAAAATTATTCAGTTGCCAACCAACGCTATATATGGCTGTTACTCCGGACGGTTAATTAGTCGCCCCATTTCGCACCCTTTTAGTAACTGTGCCCAAATCGTTCACGATATTGCCGCTGATGCAAACTTAAGGTTACGTACAACCGCCTTGGATTCTGCTTTACGGGAAGGAAAGCGGTAGTATTGATAACTGCATAAAAGAGTATTCAGAGGATATATAAGATGGCTCATGCTTGATTCTAATTGCCATTGTGGTTTTTATCTTTCTTTCGAGTAGTGCTTTTTAAGCGAATAAAATTCAAGTTTGAAACTCCTATATTAGGACGCATACGAACTCTTTACATCTCATGTAAATGAGAAAAATGAACTCCACATACCAGCGTGGCAAACAGCATGACCGAGCAGCTCCTTTCCTAAACGGGTAGTGCAAAGATTCCAGAAAGGTAGATGATTCCTATTATTCAGCTTTTTTTGAGGTTATAATACGATAAACAATAAGGAACACTGTGGAATTCTATACATACATGGCCGACAATAATGTGCCAGATTCTTAGACCTCGTCGTCAGATGTCATGGAAAAGACTTGTTAATTTTGACAACTAGCGTCAAAAAGCCCTCCTTAAATCTGTTTTTCAAACCGGTTCTCGCAAAATAGTCCTACATTGAAGAATTTGAACCTTTCTTACGTCAATCCTAAGACAATCAAACATTTGGGTACGAAGCAAGTTCTGCACAATGTGACCACTTAAAAACAAGAGACTCTTTTTACTAGATACAAGAATGAATTTATACTGTTAGGAAACATACGAAATGAGTTTGATTTGGTGCTCTTCGCGCCCATTCCCTTCATTCATAAGCTAACAATATGCGCATTTTCGCCATAAAACTTCCGCCATAATTAAGATACACTGAATCGCAAAGCGAGGTGAGAAAAATGACTGAAAGCGTTGCATGATTAGCTTGAATTTCTCTCATTCATGGAAGAAATCATATGCTTTTCTTGAAGACATTTGTATTATAGAAAAGACGTGCCTTTCTTTGAGGGAGCCCAGCGGATTATTGAATTTATGTGAATGAGGCCCTGTGAGAACTAGCGCACAGCTTTCTTATTCAAATTTTGTGCACACAAAATTCGCACATAGTCTTTGACAGCAGCAAATACACATAAACTTTCTTAACTTCAAAGAAACGGTGATATAGATTTTTCTAATGGTTAAGCTACTATTTATCAGAACAAACCAAGCTAGTTGTACGAGATGACTTTCAGACACATACACTAATTTGGATTCATGTCGTTTTTGACGAGGAAGTTCGAAAACTTCAAGCATCATGGTGTTTCGAAAAATGTCCTTGATTAGCTTTACAGCTTTTTGCTCTCCGCGTCACACATTCCCATGTAAAGAGAGAAGAACCTCAAAATTTTCTTTTTCAATAAAAAGTTTTCGTATTTAAGTTGCCTGGAACAGCAAACTTGAGGATGAAAAATATGACGAGTGTTTGAGTTGATAATCTTTCTGCTCCTGCAATCTTCGCTAATTATAAGGAATTCTATGTAGCTGGCTTTGACTTAGATTCACATTATGGAGCACATACCTTTTTTTGTTATATATAACGATTACATTAGAAGGCTTCCAGCCAATGGCGTACCGAGGTATGGTAGCAAAGACCTTGCATGAGATGAAAATATGTGCAAGTGTTGGATGGAGCGACCATTCCATATCATTCCATATCTTTATTAGGTCTTGTTGTAATATATTTGCCGCATATCGCTCAGCATTGCATCTAAAACTGTCATCGAGTGGAAAGGTTGGTAATTTATAAAGTATATTAGCTCAGCTGCGCTTTTGTAAAATTGAATTTATAGGCATTGCTTGGTCCAGCTGGACCGAGAATAGCTGTAGCGATTGCCTGCAATATCAGTGTTTATTACAGAAACTTCGTGAATAAGTAAAAATACTGCCTTTGCTTTTTTTGTGTGATATTGACGCGTCCAAACTGAGCAGTCTCAAGTACAGACATATTGTCCAAACAATTGCTTTTTGCTTACCACTGAATTACTGTACATGATGAACATGGGTGTACCTTGTTGTTTCCAGGCCCAAACCGTGAGAACCACTCCTTACAATAACTAAGGAAGGAACTGGCGTAGAGGCAGAAGCCATTGGCCGACTTTGCGAGTCCTCTAGTTTTTCCTTAGGTTCCATGGCTTTGCCATGGCTTATCAAGCTAAGGTATTGAGTTACTCTTGAAGTTTTACCTCATTAATACCCCCTCTTTGAATTAATATTACAAAATTAAACCCACTGCTTTTAAATTGCAGCTCATACCATCCTTTTTTCTAGTTCTTCATGTATGTTTCTTTTCAGAGAGGTTTGTTTATGGTCTCGTTGTTCAAACGAACGTAAAACAGATGTGATCATTTTCTCTGCTCTCCGCGAAGTACGCAGGAAAGAGTCGAAAGCCTTTGAAAATATATTTCAGAAAATATTTGTGACACAAAGCCCATCAGTGAGGTAAAATTTTCAAAAACGTGTTCGTAAAAAAGTGAGAAGCAAATTTTAGAGCAAATTTCAATTTTTTGAAGTATTAGGTTGTCCGGAAATTAATGTCCGTTTTGAATTTCAACCGCAATAAGTCATACACTTTTCATTCCTGTATAGCTTTCAAGGTACCATTTGATAGAGCAAAGGAAGCTCTACAAGATGGCTAACTTGCTTTAACAACAGCTCTGATGCATCTCGAGCTTCGAGCCAAAAACTAAAAGGATTCAACTGCCCAAAAAATCGAGAAAAATCATAACTCAGTTCATAAGAATCCTGCAAAAATTCTAACTTGCTCACGTAAACACTATCCACATAAGACATATATGTACGCTATTGCCGTATTTTTTCCTCTGTTAGAAGTCGAAAAAACGAAAATGTTCATGCTTTTGCCAAAGTGATGCTGTGTCGTCCCCACATAAGTAGATGTGTACTACAAATCTGTAGAAGTACAAACGTAAATTTTCAGCTCTCTACAAGCTTTAGTTCTCGAGAAATATCGAATATAGCTTCCATCAGTCAGGTGGTCCAAACTAAAATTCAAATTTCTCGAGAACTAAAGCTTGTAAAAAGCTGAAAATCCACGTTTTTACTTCTACAGATTTGTAGTATACATTTACTTATGTAGGGGCGACACAGCGTCACTTTTGCAAAAGTATGAAAATTTTCGTTTTTTCGATTTATAACAGAGGAGCAAATACGGCAATAGCGTACATATATGTCTTATGTGGATAGTGTTTACGTGAGTAAGTTAGAATTTTTGTAGAATTCTTACGAACTGAATTATGATTTTTCTTGATTTTTCGGGCAGTTGAATCTTTTTAGTTTTTGGCTCGAAACTCGAGGTGGATCAGAGCTGTTGTTAAAACAAGATAGCCATCTTGTAGAGCTTGCTTTGCTCTATCAAATGGTACCTTGAAAGCTATCCAGGAATGAAAAGTGTATGACTTATTGCGGTTGAAATTCAAAACGGACATTAATTTCCGGACAACCTAATATTTAGCATGAATATAGCCTGTCGTTGTGTGAATGATTTCTAAATATTGTAAAAATATTAAAGACGACAATCTGACAAGGGAAGGATCATGACTTATAATAAGCGGCTTAATCTAAAGTTGTGTGGAGTTTGTCCGTTACGAAATTACAGTGAGGAATGATTTACGATACTAACATCATGTGAGGTTAAGATAGCGAGTATGGTTCATTTTTAACTGCGGGTCACGTTGCAATAAACCGAACAATGTTTGAGAGACCTCTCAGAAAGTGAGTTTACCACGGTTCACGATGCCAGTGCGAACCTCTGCGAAGCAGAGGTGAAGCACTGGTACCAAAATAATCTGACTAACCAAGAAGAGATATATATATATATCAATAAACATGTTTTCATACGCTGATTCTAAATCTGCTTTCCATTTCTGCGGAACAACTCTCCAAAAGAAGTTATAAGCGTTATGTCCAAATTTGTCAAGCTTTAAGTGTTCCAAAGTTGGCGAAAAGCTTTACAAAAACAAATACGCGAACTTTCACCAGCTTTGTTCCTTCCTTGTAGACAATATACCTGATACAAAATTGATTACCTACTTTCAGGCGTTTTTGTACAGGTTTCGCTAATTTTATACCATTTGAGATTTGACAACTTTGGATTTTTGAACGATCATAACTTGTTCCGCAAAAAGTGAAAAGTTTTGGAATCAGCGTTCAGAAATGGTTCTAGTCATACACAGGGCTCGGCACGGGGTGGCTAGATGAAAATGGAAAAAACGAAGTCCCCCTTGACTTTTGGGAATTTTTACGAAGTCCCCTTTGACCCTCAACCAAATTTCCTCTAAAAACCTGAAAAATTCCCCAAAATCTCCCAAAAAACGAAACGTCGACTAAAAAAAAAGTCGCCGTCGCCAATTTTCCGTGTCTCTTCGGTCACAAAAACGAAACCCCCTTTGCTTTTCGTCCCAAAAACGATACCAGCTGGCTTACAAGCCACCTGTGCCGAGCCGTGGTCATACACATACTGTTTTGGTTTGCCAGATAGGAGGTCCTACTATCGTATGCTGCTAAAAGCTCAATACTTCTGACTTATGTTGTTAGTATGGATGGTGCTTTTAACATAACCATCATCGCACCTCTCGCCTGTAAAACCCTTGGTTCCATCAACTGTTATAATAAAGGATGGACCATGTTGGACATTCGTTACAGCTGTAATTTGATGGCCTCTTTTCGCTATTCAAATTCATTGAAGAACAGTTTTTCAACTTCCAATCAACGCTATTTATGGCTATCACTCGGAATGACTAATTTGCCGCTCCATTTCCGCACCCTGTTAGCAGCTGCCAGGAGGGAAGGAAAGCGGTAATATTAAGGATATATATATAGGAACCTGTCATACTTTGTCGAAAAAAACCCCGAAAAGCTGAAAAAAGCTCGAAAAAGTCCAAAATCGCCAGAAAGAGCCGGAACGCCCCCTTCCGTTTTGACGCTAAGGCATGGTGTTTGTTTCGCAACCGAGTCTTTTTGCTTCAATTTCTGTCGTCTGCACATCAAAATAACGTCAGAATTCTACCATGATATCGTTTCAGCGTTCCGGCTCTTTCGAGCTTTTCGGCTTTTTCGGGTTTTTTTTGGGCTTTTTCGAGCTTTTTTGAGCGCTTTTAGGCTTTTTTGGCAAAGTATGACGGGTCTTTAAGATGGCTATGCTTGCCTTTAATTCCCACCATATGATTATCTTTTTTGAGCAGTCTGAGCTTTTTGTGAGATATTAATATAGAAATCAGATTCAAAACTTCTGTATCAAGACGCATAGGAACTCCTTACACCACGTGTAAATGGGAAAAGAAACTCCACATACCAGCGTGGCAAAC